AGCGAACCAACAACGCCTTGCAACGTTGAGTCAAAAACCTTTATTATCGCAGGCGATAGGGTAAGACCATCAAAGTTCGGACAGTGCCTTAGTTCAGACACCATAAAATAAATTGTTGTAAAACAAACCATTTACGAGATCACCCCAGAAACAGAGCTTCCCAACTGCGATGAACTGTTTCTGTTCACCAATGCTTGGTTTTGTAACGATGTACGTGTTAAGTGCCCGAACTTAAATGGTTTTATCCTACACCTCAAATTCGCTTTTCACTTATCTCCAATTTTTTAAAAATATTTTCACAATTCCGTCTCCCAACAGTCGAGGACCTTTTTCACCTCTCTGTGCACTTGTGCAGCCACTCGCAATCGAAATACAGCCTCTCTCTAGTCGCCTTGCATCCTTAAAGGCTTCAAATGAATTTCAGGATCATAAGGAGAATCAGCCTTCGCTTGCACACAACCTTGGAAACGTTTTTCTTCAAGTAAGTATGCTACTACTCTAGTCGTACAAGTTTTAGGTCACTGCTCATTGTGACTATTTGCTTCGGAAGAGTAGAGGTCAACTCATGCAACATTGTCTTGATGAGCATGTGAGCCTGACACGGGTCCAGCAGTTCCTACTTGCATTTGACCGAATTTCCTTTCAAAAACGAACATAATGTTTTCTAGTTGATGACTCTCCAAATCCAATATAAAGTCAAAATAGAAATATAAAGTGCTTTCGAAATGTAAAAAATCGCTGTCTTCGCGCTATCGCTCGTGCTCGATGTTACTTAGCAGCCTCATCGATGAAATCATATCCTTGGACATCGAGAAGTCGAAACTTGTGCGTCTCGAATCATCATATTATGGGGACGATCGCAGTGGATGAAATAGGAAATCCGAACAGTTGCGCATTCGAACTACTGGGACGACACTTGCAACGATTTCGACCATGTTGATTTCAACACTCTTTGTTTCCCAATTTTTTGCGCATTGTTGTGTATCTTTGACAGATTCGGCTGTTTATTGGCGAGTCGACCGTGGCTTTTCATCCTTGCCTCCGCGATTCTACCGTCGTGCCTTGCCCCGGGATTAATGTATTTCCAAGTGCAGAATGGAGACGATGTGAATGCTTGGTTCCAGCCAGAATCCCCCATCTATAAAACTGTTACGTGGATCACGAAGAGTTTCCCTGAAGGAGTTTTATACGAACAAATCATCTTGTCTGGGCCTAATATTCTCACTCCAGAATCTTTCAAATATGTGAGGAAATTACACGTTAGAAAAAATAATAATTTGAGATGTTCAAGTTCTATTGCTTTCCTTCATCTTGCAGATGGCTGCTCTGGACGAGAAAATTCGATCCATAAAAGCCGCTGGGCATGCATGGGATGAAATCTGTGCAAGGTACATATNTCTATTGCTTTCCTTCATCTTGCAGATGGCTGCTCTGGACGAGAAAATTCGATCCATAAAAGCCGCTGGGCATGCATGGGATGAAATCTGTGCAAGGTACATATCGCAAAGCTAAGATATACTTTACATTGCGGAAAGAAATCAGGGTTATAGATACTTCTATCTGGAATCGGTTTGTCTAATGATTGGTAGAAAAAGTAGGCAGCAAGGACATTGAAGTGAAGTCCCTTTTGTCGTGTCATCCATCATGACTCACGCAGGCCGGACGAATTCCTGGAGGGGCACGTCAAGGAGGATAGGCGGAAAAGAGATGCACAAAACCTTCGCGATGGAGAGGATACACGAGCAGGACCAAAACGAGGTACGTACGAGCCTATTCATGCATGGTATGCTCAAAAAAGACCCACGACTTCATGCCTTTGTGACTTTGCACTTAGTGGAGCCATTCTTACGAAACATCCGCATTGCATAGATATTTTCCTAACACCTTTTTCGAAATTCCATGCAAATTTGTTCCCCTTGATCAAGGCTACGAAGTGCGATTACTGAAAAAAAATCAGAATTTGAAAATGGACAGGGAACTCCAGCCTTTTCAGAGTAGATTCCACATACCTGGCATACGGGGTGCTTCTCTGTTTAGGCGACCATACCACTGAAATTCATGGACATGGAAACGTGAAATTCATTATTCATTATTACCCATTTGATCATGAGGATTCCGAATCACATGGTACATCCTCATATTATGATGAAACCATCACTGGGTCTATGTGTGTGGTAGCATGCGTGGTTATAGGTCTTGCTCTTGTGGGCCGTTGTTTGCTACAAGTTGAAGGCGTTGGAACACGTTCCACATGACTGTTTCATGCTTATCCTGTGGTATGGAGCGTTCCTCCCGACAGATATTATTCAGTACGTTCAGACTGGTTAGGCCAGTGCGGTAGACTCCGGATTTCAGGTATCCCCAACCAGGTTACTGTCTTGTTTAATTAGGTTGGGGGAACGAGCGGCCTATTCCCTTCCTGGAGAAGGAAATGCTTCATGGATTTCATGTTTCCTGAGGAAGCATGAAATCCATGGGGTGCGCAATCCTGGTAATTCAGGGACGTTCGGATTAGATATTTCCATATCCCATCACAACGATAAACTAACCACTGCTTCATTCTCAGCTCAACTCATGAACTCAGTACGAAAATGTATCATGCATTAAAAACAAAAGATTCAGACCAATACGAAGGTTGAAGTAGTCTTGAATCTGGCATAATTTTGGCACGACATCTGGCAACACTGGGAGACGTAACTAGAGCCAGCACTCTAAGCTTAAATGAACGACAGCTAATTTCATTTTTTTCTGGCGAAACGGTTCATTGCTAACAACCAAAGAGGGCACTTTTCGTCATCTACAAGTCAATATCTTACTCATGGTTGGTCTCTTTCCTCCAAAAGTCTCCCAGGAGTGGCTACCCAGAGGGGGAGAAAAAAAAGGAATGAAATTCACATATTCAAAAAGCGAGATTCAGTGATCTCCATAACCTCGGGGAGATTGAGCTTCAAATTTGCTGAAGCGATTCTGTGTTGAGAGATGAAGAAGTATGTCAAATTTTGTTCTTGTTGGCGCGCTCGGAGAGGAATACGAAGATGTTGAATTTTGTGGCGGGAAGGGGTTGAAGAAAGGTAATAGGCGCTACTGCGTCTATTGATAATACAGTAGTTATCCATCCATCCATCCATTTATCCATATATATCTTCCTCCATATAGGCCTATAGGAATCGACATGCAGAAAATTATATATCCTTTCGTATGCTCGCATCACTTCTCCTTAGAATCATATTATGGTGGAAATGCTATTAGGCCCTTGAAAAAAGATGCTGTTCCAACAGAGAATTTGGTTTTAGAACCAACGCCTTCTCCCAAATTCACATTAGATTGTTCATTTCAACACACGAGGACCAGCAGGTTTCCTCATCTCTTGCGAATGAAAACAATGACGTAAAATCATCGCAACAGAAGACCGTTTAGAAGACGATGTAGACAAAGAATCATCGGATCAGTCCTCATTTCAGTCCGACCAGGCCATTCCTCAGAAGGATGAGAGCATGTAGAGGATTTCACAGAGGATGGCGGACTTATATCTGATACT